TGTGCTTAACTTTACGCACAGGGGTGGTCTCATTGAACTCAACAGAATTATTCCTATGTATGAAGTTAGAGATGTATGTGAATTTTTGGAGATTGAGGCCTGTAGCAGAGGTGCCGACTTCCCCAATTCCAAGGGGGTGCTCGACTCCTGCTCCGCCCCAGATCCCGCCCCGTTCTGCCCCCTCCCCCACCTTTTCCTGACTCTGTTCCACCCCCCTCTCCCCGCCCCAAGCACCTCCTGTATGCTGCTGAACAGCTGATTGCAGAGGGTGGGAGGCGCTGGGAGGGAGGAGGAGGAGCTGATCAGTGTGGCCCAGCAGGAGGGCTCGTGGGGATGAAGGAGCTGATCCACGGGGCTGCCGGTGGGTGCTGAGCACCCACAATTTTTTCCTGTAGGTGCTCCAGCCCCAGAGCACCCACAGAGTCAGTGCCTACAGCCTGTAGGATAAAAGAAAAGGAGGACTTGTGGCACCTTAGAGACTAAGAAATTTATTTGAGCATAAGCTTTCGTGAGCTACAGCTCACTTCATCGGATGCATTCATGATGAAGTGAGCTGTAGCTCACGAAAGCTCATGCTCAAATAAATTGGTTAGTCTCTAAGGTGTCACAAGTACTCCTTTTCTTTTTGTGAATACAGACTAACACGGCTGCTACTCTGAAACCAGCCTGTAGGATATTTCCCCAAGAAATAACATCCAGATAACTTTGTGTTCTCATGTGTAAGTCAGGCAACATCCTTTGACTTCCCTGGGAAGACCATAAAATGGAAAAGTATAGATGGTAAATTCACTTACTTTGGCAGAGAGAAGCTGAACTGTGATTAAAAACAGACACACACTTTGTCTGAAAGCATATCTTTATCAATGAACACAAATTCTAGGGCTTTTCTTCTGACTTAAATATCCAGCAAGTGGGTTGAATGACGGCTAAATCCAATCACAGAAGCTTCTGTCCTGTTGTTCCCCAAAGCAGTTTCTTCCAATTTCAAAGTTCATCATGTTGGTGTGATAGAACATCCTCATCAAAAAGCCATTTTGAGTCCAGAGAGATCATCCCTAGAATATCCTGCAGAAATACAAAGTGTGTACACATCAGTAAACCATTATTAAAGTAACAGAAACATCAAACCCACAGAAACAAAAACAAATTACAGAGACCCTGATTTTTAAAGCAGATTCAACCTGACACCTGACTTGCACCCACAAGGAATTGTGCTTACTATTTTGCAGTTCTAAATACTTAACCATCTAAACACCATGTGCCAACAGATCAGGCAGTGTGATGCCTGAGTTCTGGGAACTGATACCACAATTAATTTTCTCTCCACAAAATCAGAGGCAGCTTTTCAAAGTCGGACCCTAAGGCCTGGAATCAGATAATGGGCTAAGTGGGGCTCTCATCTCTCGGAAGCTAATATAATATAGATTACCTGTAATGTCATGATTGACACAATTTAACTTTCATGTTCCCCTTGAGCTAGAATATTTTAAGTTTTGTTCACTCTGTCGTGATCTGCTGAGAACAGGGAAAATTCCCATTGACTTTAACCTTTCCACCAAAGGTTGCCAAAATGTAGTAGTTCTTTCTAATCAGATTTCAACCATTCAGATATTCAGATAGGCACTTTAAAAACCAAAGCCTGAAATAGAGAAGTGCCCCTTTGAGTTAAAATATTGAAATTTGAGACATTCCTTCATTATGAATCATTGACCACATTTAAACAAAATTGTCTTTTATTCTAGATGACCAAAAGTTCATCATTTTAACAACCGACAAAAGTTTTATACATTTTTGTTTCATGCAGCAGTTGTATTTAGGCATGAGACCAATGATTTGGAGAATTTTTAAGGTCATCTGATATCTCTAGATGTACTTATTAGAATTTAGTCAAGAAATATGTTGTAGGTGGTAGACAAATGTGCTGCAAAGGCAGATGTTGATGGCCAATTCCATCCAAAGGATATCCTGTAATCTCAGTATATACAGCAGAAAAGAGCCCACTGTGGGCTAGGGGTGGCAAACAACCAATGCGCAGTACCCTGCACACCAGTGGCGGAAAGGAAATATGGCCATTAGCACTCTGGCACTACTTCTATGAAAAGTGGCAGGAGATCATCCTTGTTTGTGTAGAGCGGACAGGACTTCCAGTGTTTTACGTCTCTTTGCAGGAGAACATACTATAATCGTGATTTCTACAGGGCCTACAACGTCTCTTCTTTCAGTAATAATGTGGCTTTGCTAATGTAACCCTTCTGCCAGGCCGAGTTGATAACAGCAAGGGCCGGGTTCAGTACATAGGGGTTCCCTCTCAACAAAGCAAATGCAAAACCGGCTCGAGTCCCCACCCAGTGACCTGGGAAAATCTTACACACACCCCTGGGCGCCTCAAAGTGGCAATACTTCCCCTCGCACAAGCACAGAGTCTCGGTATAGTAGAAAATCTTTAATAACATGAGGTAAATGACATCAGCATTAAATTGGGAAAACACCACAACTAGGGTTCATCAACCAAACCATGAGCAAAGACCCACCCCAGCAAATTGAGCCATGTCCTTTCCCTTTGGTTCTTGAGTCCAACAATCCAAAGGTCTCTTGAGTCCAAAGTCCCAAAAGTCTAACAACCCAAAAGTCCAGCCCTAGAGTTCAAAAGTTCATCTGCAGAGTGTTACTCCCCAGTCTGGGTGAAAATGGAGTGTGGGGGGGAAAGAGGTAAAGGACACCTTACATGATCCAAAGCCGACTGATGATCCAAAGCCGACTGCCCCGCCTCTCCATGGGGCTTCACTCCGATCCGATCCACCAGTTGCTCCGCTTTGCCAGCCGTCCTGCGAGCTGCTCCAGCCGTCCCGCGAACTGCTCCACTTGGCCAGCCGGTCCGCTCCGCCAGCTGCCCAGCCATATATCTTCAGGCTCCCCACTACTTAACACAGTGCTCAGTGATTTCAGCTCTTAGTAATTTTTAGCTCTTTAGTGATTTCAGCTTGTAGTAGTAAGAGCCTCAGTGCTCATGCACCGTAAGTGCAAAGCGAATTCCGCTCAGCACCTGTAACTAGATTCCTAATAGACCCAAAATTAGCTCTGATATTCCACAGTGGTGAGAGAAGGAGGTGCAACTGATGATTCAGGCCCTTACAAAGGGCCCACACCACCAGGTACAACTTAAATAATGTTTTCACTTCAAGGTGTAAGAGACACAGACAAGGTTTTCATCTCAAGTCCAAAAGACCCAAAACATCAAGACACTTGATCACAGCCTTAGATAGGCCAAGAGACTACCTACACTTGATACCTGTCCCAAGCCTCTCTCAATTCACTGAGTTTTGGAACCCATGTCCCTTGCCTAGCGAGTGCTACTTAGTTGATGGCGAGTCCCTCCATCATAATAAAAGGCCAAGTACAGTTCCACTGTCCTTGATTCACATAATCAGGATAACAATTTATTCTTCCTGCCCCAATAACAGAGAAACTGGGGATCCCACAGCAGCCAAAGTGACCATTTGGGCAGCTATGGGCTCATCCTAGGTGGGGTGGGTTTGCCTATGCAAATGAGATCAGCCCCTGAAGTTCTTTTCCTCTTGCCACAACTCACCACCAGATGTCAGGGTGGAGTTCATCCTGACTCTGCTTACACTAACAAAACCTTCCTAAATTTCTGCTAAGCCATAGGAAATTCTTTGTAGCTCTGGCTGCATCTACCGTTCCACATGTACTTGTTTGTTTTTTTTGAGCTCCTTCTTGCCAATGGCATCTTGCTACAGAGCACTTAAGAATTCAGAATCTTAAAAGCTTTGCATAGAGTGGAGAAGTAACTTACCCCAAACTTCAGACTGGTTTGAACGTTGGTTCAGCTGTAGGCTGTATTGATTGGTACCATTTTGATTAGACTGGCATTTCAGCAGATTTACTAAACCTCTGTGAAAATGGTTCTGTCATCTGAGCCATGTTTACATACCTTTTCCCCAATTTAATACCAGATTAGCTGAACCACAAGTTAGAACGATTTTGAAATTGTTGGTTAATTCTCCCAGTGTAAACATGGGCTGCAGTGTGTCCTTTTTGGTCATGTTCCAGTTAAGCACTTCTCTGTTTTAGTATGGATTGAGGTCACTTGTTATCTTTGTAACTAATCTGAAATGCCATTGACCAGCGAACATGATTTTAGGGACCCAATCCTGTAGTGATTTCTATGTAGGCAGACGCGTGGTCGGACACAGAACTCCCTACAGGATCAGGGCCAATGTTATTTTAAAAGCTCTCTCTCCTCCCGCACCCCTGATATGATGGTGTAAATGATAGTACTTTGCACTTCTACTCTATATTGCCTTTCAAGATCTCAAACAGCTTTAACAATCCCTTTGATGTAGGTAAGTGGGTATGTACCCTTCCTTACAGTTCCAGACTGGGGACAGAGAGCAGTGAGGTGACCTGTGCAAGGCTATGCAGAGCAAGAACCTTGAGATGCTTGGCTGAAAGTTCACACATAAGTCCAAGCTGTTGATTCTTTCTTATGGTTTCTCTCCCCACCCTCCTCCCTCGCCCTCTTCATTTGAAACAGGGTAACTTCATTTGCAGCTGGGGGAGATGTTTTGTCGTCGTCTTTCAGCTGTTGTCATTGTCCTCAATGCAGGGGGCATTTGTTTTCTCCCTGTAATGCCAGCATTAGAATTCCAAGCCAGCATGGCTTACTTCTTCCACTGCTGATTGAAATGCTCAGTCACATGAAAGCTTACAGGCCTGCTGCTTCCAGGGAAATCAGCTGGAATGCCAGCTGGCTTAGTGCCTTGAATTTAAATCTTTAGATGCAAGAAGAGAAACAAAACGGGGGGGTGGGGTGGAAGAGAGAGCCAACGGGATTAAAAGTTACCTGATTTCCCACCATTGGGTTTCCCCTGAAAGCATTTAGGTGCTGCCCTGATGCTAAGTAAAGGATGGTTTTTATGGGGTTTTTTTTTAATATGTATTTTCTCCTCCCCTTTCTCCCCTTCCTGTTGTGCCAAAAGCTGCAGATCTGGGACACGGCAGGGCAGGAGAGATTCCGGTCCATTACGCAGAGTTATTATCGCAGCGCTAATGCATTAATATTGACCTATGACATAACCTGTGAAGAATCCTTCCGATGCCTTCCCGAATGGCTGCGAGAAATAGAACAGTATGCCAGCAATAAGGTCATAACTGTGCTAGTGGGTAAGTGAGGACTGTGCTTTTATAAGAGCTCATTTCTCCAAGAGAGAATAATCAGCCATGTCCGTCTGGAGTTTGACTAGGGTCATTGGCAGATGGAGGCATTAGCAATGGAAAATACTGCATTTATTTTATCTCATAGTGTCAGGATCTCCTTCAAATATGCTGGACTGGACACCCCTTGATGCCAGTAGGTTCTGAACCTGTATCTCTGTAGCATCTTACCATAAAGCCATTCATCTGAGCGAAATTGTCAAGACAAAGACTGTATCTGAATGACTCCTCCAATACATAAAGCCAATGCACTAAAACACAACTCAGAATAGCAACTGCTGCTTCTCAAAGTGTTGGCCATCTTAAGCCATGTAAGGTTGTTCAGCATGGAGGGCCGTATTTAGGTAGAAAGCCCAAACAAACCAGGAACCATTTAATGATTGTTTCACTTTCCCTTCCACTGAATTAATTATGTATTTGGTTATTTGGCCCCATGGCTTTGACTGTGCAGTTGCAGTTTAGAAAGAGTAACTGGAGCTTTACACCTCTAGGTTCCCAGTTCATATCTAGATCAGGTTGGTAGTGGCTGAAAGTTATTATGCTTTGATGGCCTCAGTCCTGTTGCAGTGGCATGTGTCAGCATCACAAAAACTAGTTGGCATTCCAGTTGGCATTCTCAGCAGAGAGGTCAAGGACTCAGTGGGCATATGGAGCCTGGAGTGTCTTCCTCCTCTCCCTCATTAATAGGCACAGTGCAGGGCCGTGGAGAAGATCATCTGCTGCAGTCTGTACCATCCCTGTCCTGTGAATAAACAGAAGGTTTCTGTCTCCAGGGCCATGAGGCTACACCTTTCACTGGTACTAAATCAGAATTTCACATGGATTTTTAGAGAATTAAAAAATATTTAAATGAAGAAAATGCCACGTTGAGTAACGTCCTTTGCTTGAGATGAAGCAAATCCAGCCATCAGTTTGCTACCAGAAGAGTGCACCAAGGTATACACAGTGATGAGGCCCATTAGCATTCTGCAATGGTGGACTTTGTTTTCCAAATCGGGTAGTCAAAACATCACTTTTCAGGGACTTGGTCAAGGGACTAGGTCTCAGCATAGTCGAAGAATGATGGACACATAATTTGAGGAAAGCGTTAGTCAGATGGTTATTCAACAGAAAGATCTCTCTCTCTCTCTTTTAAATAGCTTAATATTTAAAGAGTAGATAGTACAATTCTACAGAAGAATCTGGTGTATTTAGTCTTTATTTGGATTTTAAAATTAAAAAGACCCTTATCCCAGACTCTAGGTGCCCTAATGCACACTAACAATGCAATCTAAAATGCTTAGAGGTTCTGTGACAAGAAACCATTCACACTGTAGATTAAAGGTACAGTATATTTTATAAATAGTTTATAAAAGATTAATAAACAATAATGTGCTAATAAATTGCTAGAATCCAGTAGGTTGCTTATATCCATCTGTAGCACCTTCTACTGATGTGCTTCTTACCAAGTTATAGATGGTTATATGCTTCTATACTCCAATAATTGCTTATTAACTTTCTATAAATCTAACTTCATATAGAGTATGTCCATGAACCATTACATTGTAAAGGAGAGGTTGTTGGATGGAAATGACGGCAGTGGAAAGGGATCCTTTTCTCAACTCCCACTTCTTCCCAAACCAACTGCAGTTAATATCAGATTAATCATTAGTCGGTTTATTCCCTACACAAATGTTGATCTGTTCTGCCATAAGCTGAAAATGACATCTCCCTATGGGGGAGGGTTCCTCACCTCACCTAGTTCTATCAGCTTTCTTACACCCATTCATTCCCCGTGTTCAGTAACCATATAATGAACAAAAACATGTAATTAAAACTGGAGAGCAGGTTTCTTTTTAAAGCTCATAATTATGTGAAAAAAATATTGTATTTGGCGCCCCCACATGCAATAATTGACATTTTAAGTGCTCCTTGGAGCAAGAACCAATGATTGTTCAATAGACATTAAAAGGGAAATCCTTTAATGCCAATTGATATTAAACAGGTGCATTAGCACAAAATTAATGCTAAATGGCTTGCATGTTCCTGGGGAAAATTCCATTAAGCGAGCTAATATTAAAAAGCCTTGGTTATCTATCAGAGAATCCACTTTTTGGGGGGACAGGAGAGTGAGCATTTAGTTTTGTAGCTTTATAAGATGAATAGTTTGTTTAAAATAAAGAACCTAACGCGAGACACATGGTGACAAATGGTTCCTTTCTTCCAGATCAATTTCTGTTGGTTTTGTCTTACAAGTCAAATTAATTCCCTTTCTTAAAATATTTTATTGATGCAGGTAATAAGATTGATTTAGCCGAGAAAAGAGAAGTCTCCAAACAAAGAGGTGAAGAATTTTCAGAGGCCCAAAACATGTACTATCTGGAAACTTCTGCTAAAGAATCGGATAACGTGGAAAAACTCTTTCTGGACTTAGCTTGCCGGCTGATCAGTGAGGCAAGACAGAATACGCTTGTGAACAATGTGGCATCCCCGTTACCAGGAGAGGGGAAAAGTATCAGCTATTTGACTTGCTGCAATTTCAATTAAGGGCTGGCCCAAGATCCACCCCAAATGGGCCAAGAGGTTTTTTGCAGAGATATATCTCAGTGAAGGCAATTCCTGCCACTTTGACCCATCTGACTCACACCTAAGTCAGGTTCCCGATCTTAAAGCATGGCAGGCTGGCCGCTCCACCTGCAGGTCAACATAGCAGAATATAATATGGTTTAATCTTTTTTGCAGTCTCTGGAGTTGGTTAGCAAAAATAGTTTGCACAAGGCGCTCATTCAAATCCAGAGCATGGGCTGCTACATCACTTTCCGTTGGAGACTAGAACAGCCTCCCTGGATGATACAGAAGAATGCAGGATCTCTTTTGCAGCACGCCTTTAGTCCTTTTGAAAAAAGATGAACTTTAAGCCTTGGACTATACAGTACTGGCATTGTTCCAGGCTGCCAGCCAAATGAATGCTTAGGATGTGTATATGCCCACGGCATCCTGATGCAGGACTCAATTGTATGTTTTGAATTAGTGTTATATCTCTCATCTGCAGGCACTTTCATGAACTTGGAATTAAAAACGTATATATCAACGTTTCCAAACAAACAACAATTTGAAAAAAGATATGGATACTGGCTTAGTCACTCCGTTTGGTGCTAGCACTCCGGCTGAATATTTCATAGACCAAACCTAGTTTTATTACATTACTGTCCTCTGAATGTGTAACTTAGAGTAAATAGTGAAAGTATGCTAATAAGCACTGTCCATAAAATATCATTACCTCTTTTTCTCAGCCTGAACATAGTGGGTAAGGACTGTGCTTCTTTGATGTCAATTGTGGGGTGCAAAGACTTTTTTTCTTGAGTCATAAAAGCTCTGTAAACAGTAATTTCCTAGTGTAATGAACTAGCTTTGAGAATACTGACTGATGGAGTTCTAAACAGATCAGATCTGACCAAAATATTGTGTTTGCACTGATCATGTATAAGGGTTCAAAGGCAGAGCACAGTTTTAGATGGCAGTCCAGTGTGTTTGAGTAATGAAAGCTTGTAGTTACAGGTCTGTCTTGAGAAGCAAGCATACAATTTTGTATGTTTTTTTTTAAGCTTAAGTGAAAATGGCAGCAAGTGTTGTTATGAATCATTTTGTGTCTTACTCATCCAATGATCATCTTATGAACCTGTACCTTGGAGAAGCAATTCAAGGTACCAGTTTGGCATTGACTGTATTCTAATAGCTTTTGGATCCATGACCATAGATTCATTTAATTTTCTTGTTACTTTGTACTCTTAAGTCTCAGACACCAATGTATGTATAATTATTTGCTTAGGCAATTTCTTTATATAAAACCTCTAATGTGGAAGCACTATGGTATTTGTTATATTACACCTCTAGTGCCGTGTTCTAATAATACATTGGACTTTGCACACTGATGTTAAAGCAAAATTGGAAAAAGAGGTTGGACGCATACGTAGAAAATCATTCTTAAATGTTTGGTATCCGTTTTATTGACCTGAATGAGGCTAAAACTCTCGGTAACTTTGTGGCTGTGATACATTGTAACTTAGCATTAATCAGCTCGATATCATGTATTATTTGCTGAAGATGTTGACTGGCCTTTTGTATTAACATGAAAAAAGCTGCCAATAAGTAAATATTGAAAATAAAAATGGCCTTTTAAAATGCTTTGTCACATTTTCCTAAACAGATTTTGGGGTCTCTCTTACTGTGCCTTTGATTTTCAGTGGGAAGTGTGTGTGTTGTGGATCAAGAGTGTAATATAGCCACTTTGTAATACATATTTCCTGCCGTAGCATGTCAGTTTTTTCCCTTAGAATGGGAAAATTTTGTTTGACTCAGCGGTTTCTCTTGTGCTTGGTAATACAGTGAAGCCAGCACTAAGGAGCATCTCCAGTACGGAGGATTTCTTTCTTAACTGACTTCCTTTAAAAATACCCCTTAAATTTCCAGTACAGTTTTGTTTGACCTCTTAAAGACCATACAGCTCCTACATAGCTGATTTTGCAGGTCACTTAGGTATTGTGGTAAATGCCTTGTGGGATAATGCTGCCATCTCACTAAAATATCATAGTATTTTTAAAAAATATTCTTACTCTTCAGGTCCTGGATTTTTCTACATAGTATATCAGTTGCTAAGGTAGAGGTACTCGGTAAAGTTGCCAGGAGGAGTGGAGTAATGAAGGGCTACATGTGCCACATTACGCTTGTTTTTCATTTCCTGTAGTCAAGGATGAAATGCTCAAGCATTTTCCTCAAACCTCTCTTTTACATGGCAAGTCATAACCAGTGCACTTTTTATTGGATGATGTTAAGGGTCGGGGAAATTTTTATTTTCATGCACTGAACACATTCTGACCAGGTAAACCCCAAAGTCACTACTGGGAAGAGAAGTATTTACTGTGTCTGTAAAGGGCTTTTTTGTTAAAAATTAAAAAAAAAAAAAAAAAAAGTTTTCACCATCAAATTGAGCAACATCAGAGCCAGTTGAGAAAGGAGCTGGGAACAAATTAGTTAGGTCTTTCTGTGGATGCCCTTAACAGTATGCTCATCTTTAAGTGGCCAGAATCAAGGATAATTGAAAGTAAATTAGGAAGTGTTATTTACTCCTTCTCATAACACAAGAAAAAGGGGTCACCAAATGAAATTAATAGGCAGCAGATTTAAAAGAAACAGAAGGAAGTATTTTTTCACACAACGCACAGTCAACCTGTGGAACTCCTTGCCAGAGGATGTTGTGAAGGCCAAAACTATAACAGGGTTCAAAAAAGATCTAGATAAGTTCATGGAGGATAGGTCCATCTGTGGCTATTAGCCAGGATAGGCAGGGATGGTGTCCCTTGCCTCTGTTTGCCAGAAGCTGGGAATGGGCAACAGGGGATGGATCATTTGATGATTACCTGTTCTGTTCATTCCCTCTGGGACATCTGGCATTGACCACTGTCAGAAGACAGGATACTGGGCTAGATGGACCTTTGGTGTGACCCAGTGTGGCTGTTCTTATAAGTTTCTACTATTTAGGAAACACATGTTTTAAAAGTGAGTTAAGAACTTCTGTTTTCTAAGCCATCTGCATGTTCTGGAGGTTTCAGGCTCTAGAGAATAGCCAGCTTATGATACAGTCCTGGCTTGTAGATCCAGCAGGTTTTGAAATCCTTAGAGGGGAAGATGTTCATCATCCTGGCTACAAAATAGTGTTGCATAATAGGAAATGCTGCAATTAATGGAAACAGGTCGCCAAAAATGAGGTAATATTCAAAGAATGTTGTTTCTTCTTGGCCCATCAGTTCTGGAAACGATTGCATGTCTTTGGCTCTGTAGCTCTCCAGAGAAAGAGATGTGCCATCCTTGGGGGAAAAGGAGGAACTCTCTTTTCCTCCTCTATGCCACTCACAGTGTAACTGTCCAAAGGAGGAGCTGGTTAGAAAACCAGTTACTTTTTTTTCCAATATTGAGAAATGCTGCCCAGCTGTAAGTCATTTTAGAGACATTAGGCCTCTATTCAATCTTTACAACCACTTACTCTTATCCTCCGATGTGTGAGCCACATTTGTCAATTTATGGACTAAAGGCCAAACCTCAGTGCTTTCTCAACTGTGACCCTTGCATTGATGTTGGTCCTGGATACACTGGTGCTGGAAGGCCATTTAATTGGCTCTCCTTGAATCATCCAGCTGGGTGCTTGTAAGTACAGCCTAAACAATTGTGTGAGCTACACCCAAATAAGACTGGTATTAAAGCCTACAATAATCACATCACTAAAAATAATACAAGAGAGACTCTCTTAAAAACAAGACAGAATTAAATGGAAAAAAGAACCATAGCAGGTAATGATGAGACTTCTTTTGAATCCTGGTGCAAATGGCTGCTGCCCTTTACTGAGAGAAGGGGAGCTGATGGATACAGGAAGGTACATAATAGAAATCTTCTAGCACAGTCCACAAAACCACACATCAAGTACCTAATGACTTAGCTTGGAAGGCTCTTCACTGAGCTATAAATCACTTGCAATGTGGCACAGGATCAGGGATCCCTATAGAATACTTTACACACTGCTTAATTCATAGAGAGCTGCTGGGTCTCAAGCAGACCATGCTGCATGGAGGACGCCATTTTGCAGTGTGCGCTGCTCTGCCCCAGCAGCATGGCCGCATGTGCTCAATGCATGGAGGACACTGTGACGTTGCACCCCATAAGGCTTTATGGAAATATGCTTATGAATGTATATATAACATAACTGGAATGTTTTATTCTACATATGCCATGTAACATATCTCTGTTAAGGTTATGATCTAGTGAATCTATTCCTCCTATTTGTATGCATGTATCATGTTTGTATTCAAAGTTATGAATATTGGCTGTGTACTGGTTTGATTTTAAGTAGCCTTAGTAAGGCATTTGGGCAGGCTTTAGAAAGGAATTTGCAAGTTAAGTGCCCAGTCAAGAAACACGTAATGGACAATGGATCTTGGAAGGCTCCAATCCACATAAGTATACTTGAGGACGTTCAAGGTAGCATGTGAACCATGGCTGCTACCTGTAAGTTCTGAGTCATGCATGGACATGTGACTTGCCCATGTGACTCCAAAACTCCATCTTGTATCTGGGATTCTACACGGGGAGGGAGGGGTGTTTACCCACAAGAGACAGTCTACTTAAACCTCTGGGGACCCCTCCATTTGGCCTTCAGCTGTCTCAAGCCACTCCACCCCCAAAGGATACCTGAAAGAAACTGGAACAAAGGACAGTAACCACAGGGGGTGTGAGTGATTGCTGGACCCAGACTAGAAGGAGACTAGTCTGTAAAAGGAAGCTTACTGGAACTCCTCTGAGGGTGAGGTTTTATCTGTATTCAGTTTTCTTACTGTATTAGGCATAGACTTGTGTGTTCTATTTTATTTTGTTTAGTAATTCACTTTATTCTGTCTGGTTACTACTTGGAACCACTTAAGTCCTACTTTCTGTATTTAATAAAATGACTTTTTACTTATTATTTAACCCGGAGTATGTATTAATACCCGGGGGGGGGAAACAGCTGTGCATATCTCTCTCTGTGTTACAGAGGGCAAACAATTTATGAGTTTACCCTTTATAAGCTTTATACAGGGTAAAACAGATTTATTTGGGGTTTGGGCCCCCTTGGGAGTTGGGCATCTGAGTGTTAGGAACATTTCTTAAGCTGTTTTCAGGTAAGCCTGCAGTTTGTGGGACATGGTTCAGACCTGGGTCTGTGTTTGTAGCTGGGGAGCATGTCTGGCACAACCAGGCAGGGTTCTGGAGTCCCAAGCTGTAAGGGAAGGCAGGGGCAGGAATAGACTTGGCACATCAGTTGGCAGTGCCAAAGGGGTTTCTGTGATCCAACCCGTCACAGACACCATGGCAGAAGAGGTGCTAGAGCTATGCCCCAGCATGAAAAGAGGTGCTGGGACCGAGCCCTGGCACAAATTCTGACTTTACAGAAAGAAATGTGCCACCCTGAGCAGTAGGAGTGAAGGGATGAGCACTATTCACCACTGCTGAGTGGCATGCCACGGGAATTTTAAAATGCTTCTAATGTCACTCCGAGAAGTTGAACAAGTATAGGTCCTCTTTCTTGATCATGCTGACTCAGTCAAATAGCAGGTGATGCTAATTCTGTTTTCTTGAATATTCAATGTGAAGTTTCTCAAGACTGAACCTCTTCTTTTCCAGTGATTTATTTTTCTTGATTTACAATTTTGCCTTCCAGCTGCATCTCTCCTGTCAAGTATCAGGTTTTTTTTTTTTTTTCAACATTAGGAAAGCTCTATATAAGTGCTCAATATTTAGACCTCGATGATGTCTGTTTCAGTGTAACAGAATGTACTAAAGGAGCTACTGTTGCAATAAGGGATCTTCAGCAGTTTGGGGTATCAAACCCCACATACTTCCTCCCATAATCCATTCTGGCCCTGAACACTTTTAAAGTCTGGCTTGAGTGAAGGATATATTTGCAGTCTGTTAGAAGTTGAGCATAAACAAGGTTGCTTTGTTAAACCTTTATGCAAAGTGATAAACCAAGAAGGTGGCTTGCTAGCAAAGTGCTAGATAAGTGTCTGATCCCTTATAGTTTACTAAACAGTATTTTATTGTAATAGCTTATTGCAGATTTATTCCCTTTTAATACTCTGCGGCTGTGAAGGCGGATGAGGGCTGCAGGGCCCTGGCTGTCTTGGATCCCCTTGCCACTGGGTCAGGGTTTTCCTCCTGCCGAGTCTCGTGTGGTCACTGCCTGTGCACTGGTTTCCCCACGTTAAAAGATTTCATGTGCAGGCCTCTGCCAAAGGGCCCACACAAAGCCCTTCGGTGATGGACAAGTGGCAGGGAAGACAGGAGCACAGTGATCTCTGGGAGTCTTTAGTCACAAATCTGCATGCAGGCGGCAGCTGTGTGATGGTTGTCTTGTGCTGGGATGAGAGAAGTGCATTTTGACAGCCGCAGCTGTGACTGAGCAGGCCTTTTCGGGCTCCCCCTCTGCTCACCCCAAATGGGGAGGGGGCTAGAAAAGGTGCCCCAAACAGGCTCTCTCTCATTCTTCCTACTGGATGGCTGTATCCTGTGGGTTCACTCAACTCTGCAGCCAAAATAAGAGCTATAAGACAATGAATTTCACCACCTGGAGTGTCCGCACCCTTATGGACTCTCAACA